GCTAGAGGAAAACTGAATCAGCTCCTTAGAGAAAAAGAGTGAATAAATACTCCTTTTATGATAAAGGGAACAAAGATGACACAATATTGGCCTATCCGTTAGGAAAGGGGGCTCAGAAGACAGCTATTCGCCAGATCACGTCTGAAGGACAAATGTTTAGTGACTCAAAAAGATCCAACACCTCTTTCGTGCATACAACTGTATTCTTCACAGTATTAAGAGGGTCAGAAAATTCTTCAGCAATACTTAAAACTAGAAACTAGCTATCCTCGTCAGTTAGAATGGGAAACCTTAGGTGAACTTATTCTAATGCAAGATGTTTTCATAGACTTTAAGGTCAGAAGGGACCGTTATGATAATCTAGTCTGACCTCCGGCATCATACTGTCCAGAGAATTTCACCAAGGATTTCTGCATCAAGCCTAGTAACTTGTGGTTGAACAAGAGCGTATCTTTCAGAAAGATATCTGATCTTGATTTAAAGATTGGGTATAATATAGAATCCAGATCCCTTCGTAAACTGCTCCAATAGTTAATTACCTTCACTGTTAAAAATGTGCTCCTTTTTTTACCTCGAATTTGTCTAGTTTCAGCTTCCAGCCATTGGATCTTGTTACCCTCATCTGCTAGATAAAGAGCTCTCTGCTATCAGATATGTTCTCCCCGTGTAGGTACTTATAGGTCATGATTACACAGGTTAGATTTTTTCTGAATGAAAAGGTTTTTTTTGTAAAAAAACAAAAAGATGTACTTCTTTTTCAAAAATAGAAAAATGTGTGAAAAATGTGACTTTTTTTTTTAATTGCTTTTCCCAAAAAATACATTTGCAACATTTGTATCAAAATTTGTATCAAAACAGTTATCCAAATGGTTCACTAATTTAATTTTTTTTGTTTTGTTTTGTTGCTGAAAAACAAGTCACCTTCGGCCCAATTTTCCAAGGTGCAGAGCACCCGAAACTCCCACTGAAGTCTTTGTACTGAGGCAACCAAAATCTGTGGCCCCTTTGGAAGATTTGGCTGTAAGGTCATTATTACGCCTGGAATAATACTGCCTAGTCTGTGTCATTGCATATGGAATTCCGGGATCACAGTCCTTCTTAAGCAGGAGAAATTTAGTATAAAAAGCTATTGTATCTACCGGCACAAGCGAACAGGCTTCCAAACAGCTTGAGTTCCTGCTTGATCTGGATTTGTTTAACAGGCACTACATTTTGTCTGGAACTCTATGCAGCACTCAAAGTGCAGTACTGTACTTATCTAGTGGCTAAATAATATTTAGCCTAATGAGATGTAGAATTTTATCTATAATATTGTATATATTTTTAAAAGGCAAGGGAGATGAGGTTCTCATTTTTATGTTTCATTCATTTAGGCTCTGATTCTGCAACCCTTACTCACACTGAGTAGTGCTTACTCGGACAAGGAGTCCAACTGAAATCAACTAAGGTACATAGCTTTCATCAAGAGTCCCAAGGAGGTGAACGGTGTGAGTATGGGCTGCTGAGTTAGGCCCTTCTGAAATATTGGGCTAACCTGGGAGGTGCAGCGTCCCGTGGAGAGCATACATGCTCTGAGCTCCAGGTTGCACTGCAGAGGAAGTAATTGGTTATACCGCTTTAAGGAGCGCCTCATCCTATCGCCCCCCAAATCTGGCCCACCCTCTTACGGTGAGTTGTTCTAGGGAAATAGGAAGGAGGAAGCGAGCAACTCAGAAACAGTCTCTAAACCACTGCGTCCTCCCACACGCACAGTGTTAGAAATTCTAGGAGACTCTTATCCAGGCCTCACAAAGGAGGCAGGGTCCTTACTCTGTCCACCCACACAGGCATAGATGCTGGAACTAGAGGTCTGGGGGTGCTGCAGCACCCCCTCATTTGAAGTGGTTTACAAGGTTTACAGTTTGGTTCAGTGGCTCTCAGCACCCCCATGATACAAATTGTTCCAGCGCCCCTGCACACAGGACAATCATGAAAGGCGGGGAGAGCACCACCTAGCCCATTATAATTAAAGAGATGGATCACCACATCTTGGCTTGTTGAAGAAGCCCATGCAGGGAGGTTGCTAATGTCAATCCCACATACATCGGTTTCTCGGCTTTTGTTCCACTTGAAATGAAATGTTTTATGCCCCTATATTTTGCAAGCCACTAATAAGGCCTTTGGAATTCACTGTATTAAATCAGATATTAAATTAAGCCAATGGCTCCACTGTATGTAATGTTAATATACTCATAGGAGAAAGATTGCCTAGTAATTTAGAAGTAAAGTACATGCTGGTAGGATTTGTAAAACCACTTTACCTTTTGACTACCTGGTTTTCTCCATGGCACACTCAATAGCTGCTCAAACAGAGAGGTTGAGCAAAAAAGTGAAGGGCCATCATCAGATGTATAACACATACAAGATCCTGATTATGTATAATGTAATATAACAGAATAGGTATAACTGTCTCATTAAGGGCCTGGTCCAAAGCCCATTTAAGGCAAGAAGAGTCTTTCCACTGACTCTCTTAGGCTTTGGATCAGGCCTTAAAAGTCTAGATCAATTTAAGATAATGTATATATTATGATCTGGACATTCCGTGTAAATGAGCTGAATCAACAAGCATAATCCCTGGAAAATTCCCTTCCCTGCTGCCCCCATGAATCAGGCCTTGCAGTAAGAGTCTTTCATAATACCCCCAATTTGGCAAGCTAACCTTGTTAATCAAGATTTCGCTGAATAGATGCCAGCTACTGCTTTGGTATAAGGTACAACTAATTGCCCCTGAACAGGAGTTTCAGGGTGATGCTCCTTTAAGTCCCTGGGCTCTGTCTAGCCTATAAACACCCTTGGGATTCAGCTCTTGTTTCTAAAGCTGGGGAAAGAACCTAAAAGGGGAAGACTTAATCAGTTGAGGTCAGGATAACCCATAAATACACATACTTAATGAGAGGCTTCTGTGCTTTTGTTTACTTTCTATATTCTTGTTCCTTTCCACGACATATCCTAACAAGCTAGTCAAGAATGTGTCCTGCATTTCCATGGTTGTGTCATGTGCTTTATTCTTCATTATAACTTTTGTGTTAATGGAAATCATTTGTTCAGAATTACAAATGCACTTAACTTCTGTGGCAAAGTACTGAGTAAATGTATTGGGCTAAATCCATCCCTGATGCAACTCCATTGGCTTCAATGGGTAATAGAAGTGTTTACGCCTTGCAGAGTTAAGTCTATAAAGAGTTTTGCCTTGCGTGGCACATATTAATTCATGCATGGTTTGGATCCACTAAGTTCACTCATGGCAGTCTAACACTATTCTGATAGGATAAACAGGGATTTGTGCTGCTTGTGATTATTTTGGACAATATAATATACCCTAAGTTCATGTATTATGTGGGTGCTAATGGGCTGTCATCCCCTCACCAACTTTGTGCCCAACCATCCAGTTCTGCAGAGAAATCATTGTGGGCGCACTTGTGTTAGTACACAGCCCTGCTGAAATTAATGCAGCTCTGTGCAGGCAGAGGGGTCCTCCTGCATGGATCTCATTGCCCATGCTAGAGGGAAATTCGACCCTACTGCTGTGCAGGTGGGACAGGGAGCTGATCCAAGGAGGCTTCCAGTGCGCTCTTCCATCTCTAGCATGCCCACCTGACAACGCAATTCTGGTTACATGCTGTCCCTAATTTAAGGGAAATTGCCTCATTTTTGCTACCATGGGTAACATGTCCAATGAGGAGTGCAAATGAGCACATCTCCCCTCCGCTCCCTTTGGTGTCAGGTCAGCCATTCACACTGTATACGGCTTAGACTTTACATTTGCTTTTCAATATCCATCCCAAATCTGACCAAGTCCTAATGCACTAGCTTTATCAAACAAAACGTTAGAATGATAAATAATTGGTCATTCTTGGTACAAGAGCCTTCTTCCCTGCAGCTTTCCTGCATTTATTCACCTCTTTTCAAATCACGCCCGAAACTACTTTTTTTTCTCTTGCTTGTACATCTTAATTTGGTCTCCTCCCCATTATTACTTGTGATTAGATCTCTGCAAAATACTCACAAAGAAACCCCCAGACAAGCAACACTTGGTGGGTTTCCTTTTTCATTACAAACTTGAAGTTTAGTCAGGATTCATTGGCAGGCTCATACTTGTAAACTCTTTGGGGAAGGGATTGTCTTTTTATTCGGTGTCTGCACAACACCTCGCACAAGGGGTCCTGGGTCCATGTAGGGCCTCCTAGGTGCTGCCACAGGACAAATTAACAACAGTTTGGGTTGGTTTATGGCTAAGTCTCAAAAAATAGGTGATAGTCAGTAGTCCCAGCTGAATTTTTGGTTCAGATTTTTGGGTTCTTCCCAACCCAAATCTCAAAGCTCAAACCCCAGGAGCGCAAACCCCAAGCTGTCAAACCTCAGAAGAAAGATTTCATGAACCTCTGTCCCCAGCAGCATCTATTCAGCACCTAACCCAGCACATGTCGTAATCAGCTCTGTCAAATGGTTGGACACAGCAGGGTTATGAAATTCCCCAGACAAAAGGGGTATGAACTAGCAGAGCAGGTTGGAACATCAGGGGAACTTTGTTTACAATTTTGTTTCCATTGATATTTGATGGCCAGATCAATACATTTTACTGATGAAGCCCCAGAGCAAACTTGGGGCTGGACAAGAGACAAAGGCAGCAGGGTCCCTGCCCCAAGGAGTTTACAACACATGAAGGTTTATTGATGATCATCTATTTTTGCCCCCTGGTTGAACTCTCAGACCTGAGTCTAGGACCACATCCTGCTCCTACACCGGAGCAAACGCTGCTCCGGGTATACTCCAGTGTCCCGAGCTCCTGCACCCATTGCTTGGCCCCGGTGCAGAGGGTGAGGCTGCCCTGGGTGGCTGCTGTCTCTGGGAAGGGTCTTTGGCAGGTGGCAGCCGGGGGCAGAGGACAGGAGCCCGGAGCTGGGCAGTGCCGTGTGAACGCGCTGCCTTCGGAGTAAGGGGTGGGCGCGGGATGCTCTCACCTGTCTCCGGCAGGTTGCTCAGCACCATCTCCTTGGCCGCGGCCACGTCCCGCTCCCGGGTGACATCCAGCGGCAGCACCCGCAGGCGGCCGGAGCCGGAGGCGGCTTCCCGCAGCAGCCGCTGCGCCCCTTCCCCGCCCGGGCAGAGGCAGCCGGCGAAGACGGTGAAGCCCAGGCGGTGCAGGCGCAGCGCCAGCAGGTGCCCGAAGCCGCTGTCGCAGCCGGTGATGAGCACCGCCCGGCCGGCGGGCGGCAGCGCTGCCGGCCGCGGGAGCCGGGCCAGCCGCGCCAGGGGCAGGACCACCAGCAGCAGGAGCAGGAGCAGAGCGAGCGCTTCCCACATGGTGGCTGCGCCTCCCCCAGCTCGGCTCGGTCTGGCTCGGGGCGCTGCACAGCGCAGCAGCGGGCTCCAAACTTTTTTGAGCTGTGCAGTAAAAAAAAAAAAATTGAGCCCGCAGCCTCTGCCGAAGCAAAAACAACAACCACAACAACAACAAAACCGGGACTCCTGCCGAAGCGGCGCTCCCCCTGGCGCACCCCCAAGCCTCCACTTTGGAGACCACTGCGCTAGAGAGAAATCCGCCCGCTTCCCCCCTTTGCAGGGAGTATTGCCCTGCCCAGGGAGTGGAGAAAGAGGCTCTCAGCCACACACAGCACGGGGCGGGTTCAGGATATACACACACATCGGGGTTCAGGGCACCTCTCTCCAGGCTGGCCCACAGCTGGGAGTGAAATTTAGGGGCACCCTGGAATCATGAACTAGATTTACCCCCAAACTTTTTGAGGAAAGTTGTCATTATAGCTCAGACATTTATTTCCCACAAGGTATTGATCTCCTTTGATAGTTACCACGTGCAAAGGAATAATCTTAAAGGAGGCGATGGGAAAGATGTAGCCAGAGCTGGAGTGATCCCTGTCTGATGACTGGGTTTGTTCCAAACAGGGACTGGATTGGAGTAGAAAGTGATGGTCTTCTACCGACAATCCATCCACAATCCCAGGGGAGCTGGATACCTCTGCTAAAATGATTAGCATTGAAATTGTTCACAATGTTGCCAATTGAGGGGCCATAATTAGGGTTCAGAGCTAACATATTAAGACTAAGAGAGGCAGTTCTTGTCCCTACCCCCTTGTTTCAATCTCTCTTCAGACAACCTGGCATTGGTCCACATTTGGAAAATCAGTTTCATTCTCGTAAAAACAACAAGGAGTCCCGTGGCACCTTAAAGACTAACAGATTTATTTGGGCATAAGTTTTCGTGGGTAAAAAACCGCATCTGAAGAAGTGAGGTTTTTTACCCACGAAAGCTTATGCCCAAATAAATCTGTTAGTCTTTAAGGTGCCACCGGACTCCTTGTTGTTTTTGTGGATACAGACTAACACAGCTACCCCCTGATACTTTTCATACTCATAAGAACTAGAAACTCTTTTTTTTTAATAATTAAAAGTTGAAGTGCTGCTCTACTCCCAAAGGTGATTGTAAAAATGGCATATTTATTGTGCCCCAATGATTTCTGTATCAAATATGCTCCATTTATAAGCAGAAAGATGGTTTCTCTAACCTTCCCTCTACCCTTATTGTAATGAAAGCAGATCCTCAAGGCAGATTTATTACCAAAAGAGTTCCAATATTTCAAAGGACAGTGACATTTGTAAATGAATATGTCCTTGATTGTTCTCAGTGTGATTTACTGAAACGATTTTAAAACAACTCTTGCCCCTTACTTGTACAATGTATTAATTATGGTCTGTGATTTTAGTAAGGTTGCTGTGCCAACAGTCCCTGAGAAACGTGTTGGAATCCAGATTAGATTTATTATAGAAATTGCCCCAGGCATTATGTGATTCTTCTGCTCTAGAATTTTTTGTAGGGTTCTCCCTTTGCCAATGCTTGTTGGCAAACTGTACTTTGAAATCTACTCTTTCATTTAAAAATATATATGATTCTAGTCCTCATGGTTGTAAAGACAACCAGGAAAACAAGAACTAAATGTTGTCCTTCTGAGTCTGTAGACAGACTGAAACAATAGTTCTAAAATGGCTGAAGTGCCACTATTCAGCTTAATATTATGTTGATGCTGAAACCTACCAATTATACTTTAAAAGTTGTTATTGTTAACTGTTTAATGGCTGGTTATTTTAGCAGAAATATCCAGCAAATACACTTATCCCACAAACCTAAGCTGCCCCCCACAGGTGACAAAAGCTCCCTTTGTCCCCTATTCACCTACCAAAACCTCTACCTCGCCCCTTGATATTTTCTATACAGTAATTATACATCGCGGGACAAAAATATGTGGCATATCAAAAACTGAAAAGATCAGGACAGCATAAAATAAATTGAATTTAATATTAGAAATTAACAACTCAGCCACTGCTGTGCTGACTGTTTTATTCATTTTCATATTTAATTAATTAAAAACCTCAGTTGGTCATTTTAAATGATGCTACCACAGAATTTCCAGTCTGCCTTGCCAGAGGATACAGGCAATTTAAAGCCATTTCATTCCAGTTTGTTGCAGAGTACACAGGGCCTTGTTGAATGTGGTGCAGATACCAAGAGTAAGCAGTTGGAAGCCAGGTCTTGCATGGAAGGAGGATCTTGTGGTGAAGGCACTCAGGAGATCTGGGATCAATGCTTATCTTTGTCAAGTTGCTTAATATTTTTGTGCCTCACTTATCCATCTTTAAAATGGGGATAATGCTCCTTTCTTTATCCCACACTTTGTCTTGTATTTCAACTGTAAGCTCTGGAGGGTAGGGCCTCTCCTTTACTATGTGTATGTACAGTGCCTAGCACAAAGGGGCCCTATTCTCAGTTGGGGCCTCTGCATGCGACCAATGCAAACAATAATTATAAAGACATTTTAATACCAAAACAGATCAACTATTTCACAGGAGGGTAACACTTGTGAAGGAACATGCCCTTGATAATTCTCAGGCCTGGTCTACACTAACCCCCCAAGTCGAAGTAAGGTACGCAACTTCAGCTACGTGAATAACGTAGCTGAAGTCGACATACCTTACTTCGAACTTACCGCGGTTCAGACGCGGTCCACACGCGGCAGGCAGGCTCCCCCGTCGACTCCGCGGTACTCCTCTCGTTGAGCTGGAGTACCGCAGTCGACGGCGAGCACTTCCTGGTTCGATTTATCGCGTCCAGACCAGACGCGATAAATCGAACCCGGAACTTCGATTGCCAGCCGTCGAACTACCCGGTAAGTATAGACCAGCCCTCAGTGTGTATTCAGTTCAAGGTAGAGAACCAAAATCTTGTGAGGTTTGGATCCAGCACAGCAGCTGTCTTGCGATATCAGTTGATTTCTGCTAGTCCCCTTCCGCAGGTTTTTGGATGTGTCCCAGAACAAAAATCAAAGGTCAGGCCCAGATCTAGGGATACAAATCCAAGCCCTTCCCCAAAAACTGGGCTTGATTTTACAGTTCCACCCCATTGCTAGGAAAGACTTGAGAAGTGAGCCTGACATGGCAGCAATATGGAAACTCCCATATCCACGAGAACAAGATTTTAACTGTCTTCAATATTATATTATCAGCCAGAATTCGTTTATGTGCTTTACTAAGGCCAGCTCAAGGTCTAAGGCCTGAGCCATTTCCCCAGTGATGCACTCTCCCAATTCTACCCTCCTTGGGAAGGTAAAATATCTCAGCTCTGCCTAGGAGACGGTGATGGACTCATCCATTGTTGAACAGAGGTTCTTTAGTGGCAATAAGAGAGCAGGGATTGGGTCCAACTGTATGTCCCCTCCCTTTCTTCTAGCTGGGTAGCTCCCCAAGGTGTTAGTGGAGGGGAATGTATTTGATATCTATTCTATCTAATTACAATTAAGTGGCAAGATCACCGTGGTGGGGAAACTGTGAACTAAGACTGACCTATGGAAAAGGCAAAGGGGCAGATTCAACCCTCCATTGGTGCAGACTCAAGGACAGAGATTTCAGTCTGTACCTTGCCTATTTAGAGGCAGCGAGGGACCTCAAGCGCTTGCCTAACTTGTGCTCCTATTGCAATGGCTTTCCAGGAGCTTTGCCGGGGGGCAGAAATTAACCCCAAATCTGCCTTTCTCCCTGCTTTGTGGCCTGCCTCAGAATGCCTCTGTACCCAGAGCTGCTGCAGAAGCGGTTCAGAGCCGATGGAGCATGTCCCTGCACCTGGTGTAGAGACACTCTGTGCTGGAATATTCCCCAGGGGTGGTGCGGGGTTGTCTTCTGCCTGCCTTGGGGCCGGGCCCCTGTGTATCAGTCTCGCTAGTGCAATGAGGCCATAGGACAATGATGAACTGAGCCCAAAGCAGGGACAGAATAATAATATTTAAAAGCTGTTTCCAGGGCCCTGTGAATTCGTGTGCCGTCACGTCTGCCTGTTGACAGTCTGCCTAGATGTACTGTGCTTTAGATGTTATCAGTGTTGTCTCCTGCATTGTTCAGTATAATGTTGTATTTATATTTGTAAAGAAATATATATTCAATCTAAGCAGCTCAAGGGAGCTGGCTATGCTTCTGTGAGAGGCACAGTTAGAGGCAGAAATGTCTTCCCTTCTATGCAAGAGAAGGACTTCAAGTGTCTGCCTTCAATGCACAGATCACAGTGAGAGAAAGCTGAGATTCTCATGTTATCATATGACCGCAGGAGCAACAGCTTTCAAAAGAAAAACAATTGCAAAAGTCTTGATAAAATCACAAGAGCTGGCAACACTGCGTCCCCCCATCTACTTCCTCCAAGTTGGAAGTTGGGATGAGGAGGTGCCATGGGTCCTCCTCCTCCAGGCCCCTGCCCATCTCCTTGTGAGTGATCTGCTTCTATGGGGGAAGAGGGGGAGTAGTCTCTGCTCTCTCCCAAGTTCAGGGACAGGACAGCAAATGTCCCAGACCCTTGATTAATTAAATGACAAGCGCAGGAGGGGGACAAAAAGCCATTTCCCTCAAGAATAAAGTGTGACCTAAACATGGAAACATTGCACTAGCTCTGCTACAAACAAACTTCTAAAGATATTAAAACACGGTGAATTATGTGATCAAAAATCCCATCGGAGAACAAAAGCATTATGTTGTTATAGCAACGGAAACACTTAGGCTGAAAGGTATGGAATCAGAATGTAAGAGATGATCCTGTGCAAGTAGAAAAATCTTTGTGCTCTCTAACTCAATAAATAATACCATAGAGATACATGATAAGCAAAACTAATATTTGCTGCAGAGCTTCTTGTTTTGCTCTAATGGTTTTCTCTCTCCTCTGGCACTGTATTATTTTATTCCAATTCACAGACTTTTCTTTTTTTAATATAAATTCAGACTGTGACTTTCCGGCTCTATGCTTTGTGCAATAT